CTGAACAAGATCAATTTTGGCCTGAGGATCTACCCAATACAACTCCATCAACCACCCTATGCGTTACACGGCTTACGTGACCAATTGCAAATTCGAACTCGGGTCTCCCCGGGGTTGCCCCCACCCCTTCCCTACCGCCCCACCTCTTTAATAATGACCCCGTCCTTCTCTACAGGGTTCAGGCTGTTCCTACAACAACTTTTGAAGAGGCACAACTCCTTCGCGCATACACACCCATGTTCTTGGGCCACGTGTTTTGAACCCCGGACCTGAAAATTGCTGAATGAGAATTGAAACTGGCGAGATAGCTGCCCTCTCTGGATTTCTTTAGCCTGGCATTTTCCAGTTGTAACCACTTGAAATTTGTGGACTCTGCAGCCTTTTTCTGAGATAGCAAGAAAGTGCCACGTTAGAGCTGGGGAGTTGATAATGGTTTATGATGCCTTGAAAGCAGCTCTTAGCTGGAGTTTTCTATTTCTCGGCCAAATTTCTTGAAGACCAGGAAAGCAGAAACATCCTGTATCAATGCAATTGATAAAGAAAAATAATGCATCAATAAACTTTTGACCTGCATTGATCCTATCTTCTGCCAGAAGGGCCCCAGATCTTAGCTCGTAATAAAGACTGGTTTGTTTTGATTTGATTTGATTTATCTTAGTCCAGGTCAAAAAACATTAGCTTTCCAAGACGTGGAGAATTCTGAATGTATTAACCAACGCAGCCATTCCTCCAAGGCACAAATCAGGGATTATTCAGAAGTAAATGTTTCATATTTGATGTTCAGGTTGCCTCCAGTTTACGACCACAGTTGACCCCAGAATTTCCGGTGCTAAGCGAGATTGCTCTTAAGTTTTTACGACCTTTCTTGCCACAGTTGTTCAGCGAATCACTGCACTTGTTAAGTTAGCCACACATTTGTTAAGTGAATCTAGCTTCCCCCATTGATTTGGCTTGTCAAAAGGTCGCAAAAGAGGGATCACGTGACCCCAGGGACAATGCAACCGTCATAAGTACGAGTCAGTTGCCAAGCCTCTGAGTTTTGATCACGTGATCAGGGGGAGGCTGCAACGGTCCTAAGTTTGAAAAACGGTCGTGAGTCGCTTTTTTCAGGGTTGTTGGAACTTCTGCGGTGATTCGCTTAGCGGCTGCGGCAAGAAAGGTCGTAAAACGGGGCAAACCCCGCTTAACAACCGTCCTGCTTTGCAAGAGTGGATTCGGTTGTGCTCGTTAAGTCGAGGACTACATGTAATCCTTTGCAGCCTTTCCAGGTGCCTTTCCAAAGTCTTGGAACTACGCTTCCCAGGCTGCCTGGGAATTCTGGGGGTTGGAGACCAGATAAGAAGACTAACCTAAAGGGTATAATTGCATAACTTTTTTTTTTTAAAGGCAGATATAATAATAATAATAATAATAATAATAATAATAATAATAATAATAATAATAATAATAATAATAATAATAATAATAAAGTTGGAAGGGACCTTGGAGGTCATCAAGTCCAACCCCCTGCTCAGGCAGGAAACCCTACACCATTTCAGACAAATGGCTGTCCAGCCTCTTCTTAGAAACTTCCAGTGTTGGAGCATTCACCGCTTCTGGAGGCAAGGAGTTCCACTGGTTGATGGTTCTAATTAACAGGAAGTTTCTCCTTAGTTCTAGGTTGCTTCTCTCCTTGATCAGTTTCCATCCGTTGCTTCTTGTCCTGCCTTCAGGTGCTTTGGAGAATAGCTTGACTACCTCTTCTTTGGGGCAGCCCCTGAGATATTGGAAGACTGCTATCATGTCCCCCCTCATCCTTCTCTTCATTAAACTAGACATACCCAGTTCCAGCAACCGTTCCTTATATGCTTTAGCCTCCAGTCCCCTGATCATCTCTGTTGCTCTTCTCTGTACTCTTTCTAGAGTCTCAACATCTTTTTTACATCGTGGTGACCAGAACTGGATGCAGCATTCCAAGTGTGGCCTTACCAAGGCCTTGTAAAGTGGTATTAATACGTTATCTTGTGCTCAGAGAGAAATGAAGAAAGATGATTTGCTTGGTTTCTCCTTTCCAAAATATTTGCCATTACTTTTTTCAACTCAGCCTGGAAGGAGAGAGTTGATTACCCAGGCTTGCGTGGAAGTTTGTAAAACATCAACCCACAAAACAATGATTAAATGCAAGGGATGGGAAGCTTCTGTCCTAACAAAGAAATAACTTTGTAGCTAGAGGCAATTCTCAGCCAGAGATGGCCCAAAAGCCGGCCCTTTGCTTATCTTCCCAGAAAAATAAACCTCCCAGCTATTTTTTTTCCCAGATGTCACCGTCAACCTCTGATTAAATCATCCTGAACTTTGGTTGCCGTGTTAAGCCAGGTTACTTTAGGGCAAAGTTTGAAATGAGAAGCAAATTGTTTTCGGAAAAATCAAGAGGCTTGGGCTGCAAGCAATCCCGTCCTTAGGGAGAACATTTCTAAAACGCCTTCCTGTGATCCCGAATTAATTGCCACCCATGGATGAATGAAACTTGTTTTAACGAGATGGACAGCCGTGGCTTTGCCAGTTTTGGAAAGTCAGCTGTGAACCTTTGCCTTGAAATCTCTGAGTTGTTTTTATTTTATTGAAAAGCTTTGTGGTGGCCTCTCATTTCAAAACAGAATCCATACAGCTCTTTTCGTTCTTGCTCACTTATAGACAATCCCCTATAACTTTTTTTTTCTTAATGGCCTAAAGAAAATGTCATATTATTATATTTGGCAGCCTTGGACACTCCAGCAAATGAGGGCTGGAGAGAAAAAACAAAAAGTTGGTCAATAGGAACCAGTTACCAGAATTTGCAGGCCGTTGCTATAGATCTGGTTTAATCAAATAGTACTCAACTCACAACTATAATTGAGCACAAAATTTCCATGGCTAAAGCAAGACAGTTGTTAAGTGAGTTTGCTCCATTTTACAACCTTTCCTGCAGCTGTTAAGTTAGTAACACCGTTGTTAATTGAATTGCCTTCCTCCATTGGCTTTGCTTGCCAGACGGTCGTAAAAGGGGATCACGTGACTCCGGGGATGCTGCGACCGTCGTAAATATGAGTCAGTTGCCAGGCATCCGAATTTTAATCACATGACCCTGGGGATGCTGCAACGGACGTAAGTGTGAAAAAGGTTCCTAAGTCACTTTTTTCAGTGCTGTTGCAATTTTGAACGGCCACTAAAGGAACTGTTGTAAATTGAGGACTACCTGAAGCCCCTTGATGGGCACCAGCTGTTTACCTCCATCCTATGGAAGCAAATATCCCCATTTGTGCGAATTGGCACAAGTGCAGAGGAGGCTGGTTTGTGGTCAGCTGACAGCCTGGAACGAGGGAGCTAATCTTTGTTACAGGTAGTCCTCAATTTAGTTCATTTAGTGACTGTTCAGAGTTATAATGGCATTGAAACAAAGGGACCTATGAGCAGTCCTCACACTTAACAACTATCACAGCATCCCCAGGCTTACATGTTCAGAATTCAGGCATGGAGCAACCAGGATGTATTTACGACGGTCGCAGCATCCAATCGTCACGTGATGCGTCCTGCAGAATTTTAAAATTCCTGCATATCCAGGAAGATCTACCCTACAATTAGCTAAAGTGCTGAGCTTGTTACCTCATATGGAATAAAGGTTTTGTGTGTGTGTGTGTGTGTGTGTGTGTGTGTGCGTGCGTGCAAAACAGTCAAGCACAGCTGGATGTAAAACAACAGCTGCCTCAGCTAAATCAGTGCCCCCCTCCCTCTCTTACATGATCAACCCAATTAGGAAATTTGTTTTTTGCAGCTTCAGTGAAAGCGCATCAGATGCCTTCAGGGGAACTGTGTGCTAATTGTGTTGGGTTTTTGTGCAAACCAAAGTAGTGTGTTAACTTGGCAGCCTGCCTGAAGGGATCTTAGAAAGTCCCTGCTATGGGAAGTGAGTCAGAGTCACAAACACCGAAAGGCAGTGATCCTCAGAAGCCCCAAAGCGAGATTCTACTTTGGTTAACCCCCCGCCCTGCTCAAGAGAAACATTTGACCAACTCAAAGTCTAATCTGTCTTCTTGGGCAATTT